GGCACAGTATACAAATAGCAGTTGAGTGTTCCAGACTAATTTACAGAGGTGGCTATAATTGTATTTGCAGCACTAGGATATGGACATAATAAATAATTAGCTGATGAAGTGACTTGTCGATGTCCAGATTGTGTCAATTATACAATTACTACAAGTATGGTACATGATTACAAGAGGTGAACGGCACATCAGGATCAGCAGTGTTCATTGTACAGTGTAGGCAGTCGTTAATAAAGACCTGGGGAACCTCTCCATCAGACAGTGAGGGTAATTTCTGAAAAGGTCTTGCAAGAGGCGACTGTCATGGTCCAGCATGGATGTTCGTTTGCTACAGCACTGTGTCTAGGGGACAGCCCAGGACAGAGCTGCACTTTCTGATGTCCTTTTCCAGCTTCCTCCTGATCCTTTCTTATGATGCTGGCCCAGTCAGAATTTACATGGGAGAAGTGACATCCAGAGAGCTTACATATTCTAATAAAATGGATGTAACAAAACACATCAACGTGCACACTGATGAAGGTGTAAAAATAAGGGCTGCACAATAGAATTGGAAATTAGTGCAATATTTGATCTGAGTGTTTAGTATTGCGATATTATTGCGATATTTTTGTCTTTCACCTAAAATTGCAATCTGCATTGAAACACAAAAGACAAATAACAAAAAATAAGCAAAACATTAATGACATACATTTGTCTTTGTTTGTTTGTTGTTCTTGTTTAATGCTGATGTGTCTGTTTTGTTGTCTTTGATAAAGGAAAAAAAAAGGAGAAAGGCTTTTTGTGGCTATTTTTGATATAGATATTGCGATAACGATATATTTTCAATATATCGTAATGTAACTAACTTTGTGAAGTGGATTTTCCTGACACCTGTTTTGCCTTCCAAACAAGTTCTATATTTCATAATTCAGAAGCAGGAAACACGGTGCGTTTATTGTACTTCATGGAATGACTTGAGCAAATGTGAAAATGAGATGTCGCGAGACCAGTCCAGTTTTTTTAAATGAACAGCCAGGTACTTTAGAGAGTAAGTTCACTTCCAATGCTCGAATGATTACATTGGCCCAATATATTACAATATCACGTTCCCCAAGTTATGAAATGTGTACTTTAGACGTCTCGGTTTCCATGCTGTTCTAGCCTCCTATAATTTCAATGTGTGCAATCTTGGACGCTGCACAGCCTTACTCATCAGTGTCTGTCTCCTTGTTATATAGCCACCTGGGTGAAGTGTTATAATAAAAAAAAAATCTTTCATGAAGTGTCCTTGAGTGCTTCCTTAACCTCCCACCTACTCCCGATGTTCAGAATTAGATCACGTCTCAGCCGGAGTTAGCCACATGTAGCTGGTTTAAGTGATTAGATTTACACAATTCAATATGGTACTAGATACACACAATTTGATGTGTGTTTCGCGAGTCCTGCTAAGAACTGAACACTTAGCTGAAAGTGGCTTTTAAAAGGTCTAGGCGCATTTGCAAAGAGAAGTGTTTCAGTTTTACTAAATATGTAAGAATGATATTGTAGACTCTTTGTTCGCCTAAAGAAACAGGCCACTTCCATAGCTGGAGTAAACACTAAATCAAAATTGTTAACCTTTCTGCTGCCTTAAAAATGAGTAATGCAAAAGGCATCAACAATTCAAATTATTTTATTATATTAAGGATTTGTAATACATTCACTGCTTTGTTTTTACACTTTATTACTAATACCCAGTATTTCAAAATAGGTAAATAGTGCATGTTTATTGTCACATAGAGGTTGTTATCAATGAAACATGCAGTGGGACAGTGCTCTTCTGTGTCCTCATTTTGTTGAGATAGGCCTCAGTTCTTCCTTTTGGCTTCTTGATGTAACCTGGTTGTTTTGTTAGAAAGACACCAACGAGATGACAAATGTGCGGACAAACTGAGCTCAGCTTTCACAGGCCATGTACTGTTCTTGCACAAGCTGTGTTTCTGCACGAACTGTGGTGTTTATTCTTTTTTTGTGGGCGGTTTTAAAAACATTCAAGAATCAAGTTTAATTCGGAAATTGTTACAAGCAAATTCTCAATTCTTTTTGCAATCCGCAGTCAGCAGTTGTTGCTGTGAAGGTATAATCTACTTAAATCCATGCTATTCAAATTTGAAGGTATTCAAAGTGCCGTTTACCTTTGTTATGGGTGTATTATAGTATATATTTTGTATTGTCTGGAATATTCATTAGTAGAACATTGAAAACATTGTGATAGTTCTTCCAAAACACCCATTTCATTATGAATTCTAACTTTGTGCAAACATTTTCTCTTTGATCTATAACTTGGCCAAGTGGTTTTTCTTCTGCTTTTAGTAGCATTTTAGGCACCAGATGTTTGTTGCCTCTATAACATATGGAGATGATTATTTTAGATATCGTTCACTGCTCTAAAATGATAGAATAATGGGGAAATCCACTTCCTTCCCTTTGCCCTGCCCTAATGTTGGCAAATACAAGGGATGTTTTTATAGTTGAAAAATTCAAACCAGCACATTTTAACCCTGTGTTGTTGTAATTCTACTTAATAGTTATGTACACAGCAGTAAGGGTAGATTTTCAGAGCCATGATGCAGTAACAAAACAAACCTATGCATTTACATTGATGAATGAACACTATTGTAACATGGTAAAAAGCTCATGAAAATTGACTGTGTAAACCGCTATTTCTGGTCATATCTGGTCATATTCTCTTCTGCTAAAGTACAAAACCAGCCATCTGTAAGTAACTCCATCTCATGCTGCTAACTACAGTGTCAGAATCAGAATCAGAATCATTTTTATTGCCACGTAAGTAACAGGAAGTCACAGACTTGGAAATTGCTTTGGCTCAGTGCAACAGTCAGAGAGATAATAAAAAATAAAGAGTAAAAAACACTTCTAAGGAATAAATTTAAATTTAAAAAAGAGTTAGTTACTATTAACAACATACAAGTGCACATGGTGCACACAATGTAAGGTGACAGCAGTACAGTGAAGTAAAGTGACATACTCGTTTTATGTGTGCAACCTGGGTGCTCTTATTTTCTCTTTTTATTTTGCTGGAATGTGCAAAACATGACATTGAAATTTAACCACTGGGGGACAAATAAAGCCTCATCTTAACGTATCTCCTTTAATGCCATACAGTGGAATATTGCAGAGAGAAATTGTTTTGAGAAACGGGCATAGTGAACTAAAGTCCTATTTATAGTATTACCTACTCTACTTTTCCCCTGTTATGATTTTAATTCTCTGCTTCATTTCCACGTTTTCCTGGAATAAAACCCAGCATGTATCAACACAGTTGATGTTCATCAACATGCTGTTCTCCTTATCTCTGCATAACAAACACTTCACACACACACACCCACAGATTTAATAAATCTGCCACTGTTGCTTGTGCGGGACTCACAAGCGCTGCAAACATACTCTTAACGTGTGTCATCATCTGTACAAAGCACTGTTCACCTTTCCACAGCTGATTTAAAACACGAGCGGCTGTCTCTTTAAGAAGCAGCACCGTCCAGTTTCACCCTGCTGCTCCAGGGCACAGCGGGGGAGGGAGGGATCGGTGTTGACGAGAAGCCACTCGCTGATTGGTGGTTTCAGCCTCTGGGCGGTGATGTCACATGGAGGAGAGGCAGTGTGGTGTAAAATAACATGTCCTTTTATGGGGCAAGGCAGAGCAGTCCATGTTTGAGCACAGGGGTGAAGCATTGGCTGTAGTCTTCTGGGAGCTTCTGGATTATAGGATAGTTGTATAAAAGTGTTGTGTGGTTGATTTGCTTGATTTGCTTATCTATAGTAAATGGCTCTGGTTATATTAAAAGCTCTGGTTTGAATTAATATTCAAAGTTAATGGATGAATTTATTGATCATTATAAGGGCTTCCTATTAGGGCTGTAATTATTCATTGTTTTGATAATCGATCAATTCTTTGGATCACAAAAGGTCAGTGATTTTGAGATTTATGGGAATCTGTCATTTTAGAATTACCATTCTCTGAACAGTGTGATTATATGTGTTTGTGTATGCTTTTTAATTAAACATCTGTGGATGAGCCTGCTTTATTGTAATTTTTATCAGTTAGATTAATTGTCTGACAAAATTATTTTCTGTCAAATTGGGTATGACAGGCCTAAAGTGTATGCTAAATCAGAATTCTTTTATGGATTTGGTTCAATTTGGGGCTGAATATGTGTATTCATCTTTTAATTAGAATACAAAATGATGTTCTGTAGTAGAAAGCCAGGCTTTTACTTAATCATGCATTACTGATTGAGCAAGATCAGCTCTTATGTGACTAAATTACTTTCGGATTAATATAATATGTGTAAAACGCATTTCCTCAATATTAATTATTTCTAACTGCTTTTAAATTTAATTCTAATTGGAATTTCAAAGACTACATTAGTCCAAAATTGAAGTCTATCAGAGGCACAACATCATGGAATAGATGGAATATTGGCAAAGCAGAGACCTATCCTGTTAACACAAATTAATAGACAATACATTCATGTTTAGTTACAGCACATGCATGTGATCAAGTCAAATCCATCTCTTAAAACCATACTACATTTCAACTGATCAAGAGTGATACCGAGTCCTAGCTAAAGCTTGTGAAAACTGTCTTAATCTCATCTACTTAAACATTTACAAAGTAAAACAATGTCCTTGCCCATTCCCCCACTTAACCCATGTTTTGCATTCAAAAAGCCCACTCTATAGCCTCATCACCCCCACTCTCTGCTGAAGTGGTTTGTCCCAAGAACCTCCCCTCCCTAAGTCAGATTTGTCTGTACTCCAAGGAAATGCACTGTACTTTAGAGGCACTGTCACACTTTTGTATCAAGTTTTTTCAGTTTCACGGACTACTGCAAGCTTATGTATTTTTCTTGAACTAAATTCAGACTGTCAGTCATGTTGAGGAAACTTGTCAATGCTTCAAAGATCTTCTAAGAAACTACCTCCCACCTCCTTCAAATGTTTGAGTGGTTGGGGCCATGGCCTCTCAGTCAGGGTAAGTTATGTACTGCTGGTTCACTAATTCAATTAAATCACTGCTTTCATTTGTACGTTTTAGGCTTGTCATTTTTAACTTTCTAAATTGTCACACTGGTCAAGGATTGTATTGTATTATGTGTGTCATGTTTTCCAGATAGGCATCAGTCCTTCCCATTTTTTTTGAGGGGTTGTAGTTTTGTTTAGAAAGATTAAGATGGATCTACAATTTTGGTCTACAGTTTTACAGTTTGATAAAGAGGAAGATTTGAACAGATCAATTATTGGATTCTTATGTGCCTTTAAATCAATAAACTACAACTTTGTAATTGTGGCCTATAATACTGTGGGATTGTAGTCTGAGGAAAAGTTGTCTTTTTATAATGATCAACAGGTCAGTAAAGCAGCTGGTTTGAAGTAGACAAAATAAATGGTAGCTTTATGTTGACAGCTTAGCCCCTATGGTTGTTGAATGTATATTCTGAATATCATGTTTCGTTATGACAAATTGTACGGCTTCATAGAACACTTGGATAGCGTTTGCTTGTTCAAAATTAGTGAACTTAAGTGCCTTCAAAAGTTGTGTTGTAGAGGCTATCTTGTTTTTGTTTTGTTAAGATAGTTTTTGTTGAATTAGCATTTTGTTTTAAGCATGATTTGTTTATTAGCATATAAATACAGACCACAACAAACCAACTGTGCTAGGCGTCTGCACGGCCTGAGATGCTAGTCATTTGCCCAATAGTTGTGGTTTGATTTTAAAACTTGTATTCCAGGAAGCTTTTGTCTCCTGGATTACAAATAATAAATTATATTTTTTTGTATTAAGCGAATTATTTATTGCCAACTCATGGCTTTTGATGTCTCTAGCAACTTGTATGTGGCCATAAATGTTAACCCTAATGGCTAAATGCATTTCTTTGAAGATGGAGAGTTATATACTATTAAAACTGGCGTATCTAACTTTCAGACCACAATAAATGGACCAATGTTATAAAATCTATCCGACTAGTCCATCGCTCTCAGAACTTTGCTTTCTAATAAGATAAAGAAACCCTTGTGATCTGATTTCTTTATTTTAATTTGACTTTAACTAGACTGCCTGTTGAGATAAACAAAATCAATTCCTATGAAAAAAAAGTGGTGAAAAATGTTCTCCGGTGACGGAAACTTCAAAAGAGCCCGAGTCTTCACACGGCTGCCACGTTCTATCGTGAAAATCCCTGTTGGGTATTTAACAGCCCGTAAACGAAACATGATTGTTACAACAACCGGGACATCCCATTCACGTTGTAACAGGAAATACTACAATTTCTGCAGTGAAATCTCACATGAATGAGAAAGTTTCTTTTCAAACTTGTTTTCCCGATTCCACTTAAAAGAATTCTTATCAATTTGAGTTCAAAGTTTGCAGTTTGTGAGTGAGAAGTCTTAGTTTTGGGACACGTTCTTATCAGAAATGTTACATAATTGTCAAATAGGTTGCAGCAGGTGGTTATTTGTATAGCGCAACATAGTTTTATCATGTCCACCTCAAACTGGTTTTAAAGTCTAAAAAGGGTTATTCCAGTTAAAGGTGATAATGTTGATGCATGTATATTACATTTATTTATGCTTAAATGATATTTAGTGTATAGCACAGCATATGATTAACATCACCCAGACCACCTCTTCCATGAACACTTCATTCAGATCTGGGGAATACCACAGAATTTCCAGGACAGCTGAGAAAAATTACACTAACAATTCTCAATGTTATTGTACACTGTATCTTTTTGAATGGAAAGTCATCCAAATGTTTTGTCATTCATACACATATAGTGTACTGTGTAGTATCCCTCCCAAAACTATTCCATTGCCCTGGAGACAAGCGGATGTTTGAAGCCAAAAAATAATTCAATCATTTTTAGGGCTGGTAAATATGTTGAGCAATTGCACATATTGTATAAGGATGATTTATTGCAACGAAACAGTAAAAAGTATTGGTGGCAATTTTGTTATTCAATGAATGGCCGCTCCATTTCTTTAACTTTATCAAAAAATACAGCACTAAGTATAAGTGTTATCCATGATGCATCTATACTTTTTCAGTAGACTAGTTAACTGCTGCAAAATGGCTTACCAGCTTTGTAAACAGCTCAATGACAGTGTCTCTCTTCACACAATAATGGGGGTCAATATCTTTGTCCATATAATCTTTGCGAGTGCTTTTCCAAACTATAAGAGGCTGTATCCTCTTGTTGTACTAATAAAACCCACAAATTAAGTCAATTGGAGTTGAATGGACCAACAGTCTGTTTTCAAAGGGCTTTGTGCCTGAGGCGGGTCTTCACTTTGTCCTGTCCTGACTGTGTTTCTATGCCACAAAAGGCAGTCTCTAACTGCAGCAATGTGTATGAAACGAGGCATTTATGAAGGACATGGCAGCATGGACCCTGAAGGCACAGGGGGCAACTCTCAAGTAATGGAGGAATCTTAATGCTGGGGTCCCTAACTTTATATTAACAAATATTATTTTTTTGTGTTGCCAAATAAACAAATGGAGCATTCTGCAAACGCAAAAGGGCACGTTTTCATTGTAGTAGAAATCGTATGTGTTGAATACGATATAAACAAGCTGTAATGTAATTAGGGGTGGGAACCTAAGGGTACCTGACGATACGATACGATACACACAAAGCTCACGATAACGATAATATCACGATAACGATATTACGATAACGATTTTATCACGATATGACGATTATTGGTCAGAAATATATAATATGCCAATTTATGGCATAAATAAAAGAAAAAATACTCTTTATTTCATGATAAATAGAATGGAGATGCGTAATGTAGCCATGTATTAAGTATTGATACCAATTTTATTTTTTTCAAAATCGATATTGATACTTGGCAAATGCATATTGATAATCGAATTGCGGGAGAAAGTATCGCGATATATCGAAAAATCGATATATCGTCACACCCCTAATTGTAATTATATTGTATTGCAATATAACATATATTGGGGTTGCAATGTTGTTGATGTTACAGAACTTTGCTATAATTTCATTTATAAATCATGTATTTTTTCAAGAGTAAACTTTGCCATTTGCTGCTAGAGCTGTAGCACTGTACCACAAGAGGACTTGTGGTACAGTGGCTGGAAAGAACAAAACACAACAGGGAGGAGATGAAGAGAATAAATACACTGGAGTTCAACATCCATTGATTTCTATGGGAAGGAAAATGTCACAATTTGTCTGACTCCACTATCACATATTGAACTTTTTAAAAGAAGATCTAAAACTGGTAGGCTATCTAATATTTTAAATAGCTAGCAATGAAAATCAGGCATGACCGCTTTAATTGGTCTAGTATTAAGACTTTAAGTCAATACCAGACAACTTTATTTAGTCGATACTCTTTGGTGTTCAATGCAATATCTTTGAGTATCGTTTGCTGCCCTGCTAAATTTAGTTTTTGATACATTTGTTTGCATGCTGTGAGTTATAAATCATGGAGAATAAATTGCATCCATTTAGAAAATAAACATGTCGTAACTTTATTTTACCGTACCACAGTGGCTAAAATTGTGCTGACGGAGAACAGTCTTCACATTGTTGTCCTTTCTACATCAATGAACTGATTTTGTGTGAATGCTGGGTTCAAAGACATGGCAGCTGTTCTAACCTTGGCCGCTTTGTGAACCATAAAAAAAGTCTGGAGATTGTGAATTTAGTTATGGCATACGGTGTTGACAGTAAATAAATCAAGGCAAATTACAATAGGATAACATTAAAATGAGGTTAAAATTGTGGGTGAATGGTGTGAACATGATAATTGGGTGAAAAGGACCTGGCCATATGTTTATATTTGAGGAGCTTCTTACATGGAGTTCAGACCATAGGGCACTGGCGACTCTCTAAGGGGTCCTTTTTTAATTTACAAGGATTAGGAGGAAAGTAGTTTATGTTGGGAATGCGTGAAATGCAAGTGCACGGTTACTTTGATCTATGGTGTTTCCTGTATAATCAGTGTTGTTTTGCAGCCAATAGCAGCATGAAGATTGACGATTTACAGTATATATTGTGTTGGTGACAAACTGCATATAATTCAAGAATGTGAATAGAATATAGAGGATCAAGTTGTACTCACCAGCTAAAACAGTTAGTAGTTGTACAGGCCTGATGAATTAACTTCTCAGCATGGTTGTAGCATGGTGCATTGTAGAACTATGCTGAAGTAGCCATTCAAAAATGACAAATATTTCCAAAAAACACTATTACAGCCTTTACATGATTGAAAAAGGTTGTATGAGGTTTTCTTTTTGAATTCTGGTCAGCGCTACCACAAAACCGAAACAGGAAGGCGACGGAAACACTTTGTCAAACTGACATCTTTAGAACAGGGAAATCTGAACTTTATGGTTTTAATACTCGCGTTGTATACTCGTGTTTTTGCTTCATACTTATTATATACATTATGCAGCACATGGATCAGTAGCGCTGTTTTCTCCGGCCGTTGTGTATGTTTTGCTAAGACAAAGATAATATGTTATGTAACTTGCTCAAGCAGGTCACAGGTGGCTGTTAAAGGCTACAGAGAGGACTGCTTCTATAATCCAAGAAAAACACTGCCTTCGATTGAGCGTGTTAGCAGAGCACATAATACAACAGTTTGTTCTTGGAGTAATAAAGAAATGAAAATAAATCAAAAACATAATTGATGTGGTATTTTATCTTTTTTTGTTGTTGGTTCTAGACATAGTGATATTTACTTGGCTGGATTGATCTGTCGTCTACAGATGTGAACAATTGCAGAAATCTTTGAACATTGTTTGGAGAGCATGGAATATCTCTGTTGACCCTTTTAAGGTTATGTGGTGTTGTATTTGTCCCACTTTAGCCTGTGATCTCCTACTAGAGCCCTGCACGGGCCTATTATCTGGGCCCGAGCCCGGCCCTGGCCCAAGGGGGTGGCGCCCCAGCCCGGCCCGGCCCGATATGGTTTCTGAATTTTCAGGCCCGAAAC